TTTGAATCCCAGCAGCCCCAGCCAATGCAAGCTGCTTGCAAATAATTCTTGCTTTTAATATTTATAACTTTCAGCATCCTAAAGTTTTGTTGCAGCTCATGATCAATAGTGTATAACTAACATCACCGCATAAAACAGGAAGAACAATAACCTATGGTTGTGGCATTTGCATCTCCTGGACAGTTAAACATGGCATAAAGCGGGAGTAATATCTCATTTAATAACTTATCACCACTGCCCTGTAAGGTGACCTTTGGCTAAAAGAATTAGCCCAATATCATGCAGAGAGCTTTATGGTAGCACGCCAAGCCCAGCAATGACTTCAACTCTGTCTGAATGATACTGTTTTCTAGTCAAGTGCTGGGGGGCTCTTTCCACCCCTTGGCCCCTTATGTGAAGTTTTTCCCCATTTCAAAATGCCTCTCAAAGCTCTGTTACTAGCAGTACAAGTCTTGAACTAAAATATGTTGGTATTATTAATATTTTGACCATGCTCGGTCTGCTGTCCAGAAGCTAAGTGCTGATGGGCAGTAGCTGAAGCCCTGCTGACTTCTTATAGTTCTTTATCTTTAAACTAGACTTGAATTAGACAGCCTTTCAAATCTATGATATCTTTGAATAGAGAACTGCCCTTTCATGGTCTTTCAAATAGGTGACTGTCCTCTGAAAAATAGGGCAGATTAGGCCGGCTTCAGACAACAGGATGACCCTTGCACAAAAGTAGAATATGAATTGATTGTGGTTTGTCATTGTGCAGGTTGTTGGTGAAATGTGGATTTGCTATGCTAACAAATCATGGCTTGTTAACCACAAATAACAAGCCAGGAGTTCTCTTCATGCATTGTTTGTGGCTAACAAACCATGGTTTGCCAGAGCATCTGACTTCAGTGACAACCTACAACTGGGGAAGGAGTGTTTGCTGCTTTGAGTCAGACAGCAGAATGTCTTTCCCCTCCATTGGTTACAGCTGCACAATTCCTGTAGCAGGCTGCACAAACTGCATGGTGGACTGGGAAACTGGGAAACAGTTTGGTTGTTTCAGCAACGGGCAGGAGAACCAGCGATGCTCTGAAGTTTGCTTCAGTGCTCAGGTTATCTGACTCCTGTTCTCATTGTGATCCTTTTCCCCAATTTGTTCAAATGGGAAAAATGTGCTCTTTCTCTCCATTGAAGATGCAAAATGTGAAGATGCAAATGCTTAAACATGCATTTCTTAACTGTGCATTTTTCAAAAGTGTGCACTTTCTTCAAACATGAATTCCAGTTCAGGAATTAGCGAGGGTTTTCAGAAAAGATGTGTTCCAGTTGTGTGCATGCTCAAGATCAAAAACAGACATTTTCAAGTTTGATTAGAACAGAAATGAAATTCTTATACACCCCTGGTATCAGTCTTGCAAATAAACATTCAAGTGGGGTATAGGTCAAGTACGTGATTGATGGGGAGTGGCAAGGGTACAGGTCCATTCACCATCTGAACTATTCCAGCAACTCTAGGCACCTGTTGAAAGACACATCAGGGCAAGATAGCTGCAGACTCAGAAATGCTTTTTGGAATAGGAGTGGGAAGCAACCCGTGAATGACTGAAAACCTGTCTCTAATTTGAGAAATGACAAGATAATGAAAGAGCTAAACACCTGATATGTGGATAAGAGGATGTTCAAGGGGCTGTGGCATCAGAACGCCATTATTTTTGTGCTTCTCATATTTAATAGAGGCATACTTTATCATTGTTGATGCCAAAGCAATGACATGACATCAGTGACAGCTGGAATAAAACACTCTAGTCCTCATGACCTTTGCTGAAAGATGGCACGACAGATGTTCCTGGTTTTTATGATCTTTCAGGCCAATAATGAGAAAAAAAGGACAGGGAGAAGTCTGTAGAGACATGAGTACCACATTTTACACTTTTATTTGGGTCTGAGTGACACCACAGATAAAATACTTTAATCAAATACAAGAAGAACAGGTTGCCATGTAATTCTTTTCCCCAGATGCAACAAACAGAATGGAAAACAAAACCCTGCTGGTGTGATCCACATGAAAGCACCAAGAGATGATCTTCAACTGGCACATGGAAGTAATATCTACACTGCCTGTAATCAGCTTTATTAATTAGCAAAAGAATCACATGCAAGATACAACCCATACATATAAATCAGCATTGCAGTTGTCCTGGTACTGTCCCATCCACCTGTGGGTGAGAGTTGCAAACTAGCCATTTAATAGGTAAGGTATCCCACAAGCCACTTCTGCAAAACTTTCCGTTCACTTCAACAGAGGCTGCACTATCACCACCTGAACGGAGATTGCATAGCAGCAGCACTTGCTGGGCAGTATTCCTACGCCCTCATTGCCAGAGATGCTGTGCCTGCCCACCACCACCCTCTGATAGAAACTCAGAGCTGTTCCTCCCCCATTGAAGTGAGTGGGGGAAGCCCTTCTGTGCAGAAAGCTCCGAAGTACCCACTGGCCTCTGGGTAGGGATGGCAGTCGGAACAAGCTGCTTGATCTCATTGGCAGAGCAGGTAAGCTTTCCAATGCTTTAATGTCTATAATTAAACACTGATTATGGGACTCAGCTTCAGGTGGAAGGAACTGCGATCGGAAGCAGGTGAGCAACAGAGAAACTAGAATGGATGCAGTTCTTACAATATCAAGATTCAATATGCTACCACACAGATAAGGACATTGCGGTAATATATTGTACAAGCTTATACAACAATATATGTCGATTGGCAACACTGTACAGTTTTAAACCTAAAGTGCACAGCCCTCAGCCTGAGGTGACAAAAACCATACAACTGAGATAATTTAAAAGGCAAGACGATTACAGACACAGTTTTATCTCCTTGTTCCTAGGTTGCAATATTACAGTGAGCCAGGACCCAAAGTTAGGTATTTTTGATCAAATCATACAACATTACACTAGTTAAGTTCAAGTATTTGGAGAAACTGTAAAACAGTATTGCTTTACACACCCGAGTGGCCACGGTGGTTCTAGTTAAAGCTCAAGGCCAAATCTTAGCCAGGGTTGTAAGTAGAGACTGCTCCAGACTTGAAGCAGAGCCAAGACAGGTTTCCCATCATCCAGATTGTGGCCTAACTTGTCATTGAAATGCCTGGATGTTGGATCCAGGACTAATTCTAAAACCATTACTCCAATGGGCCTATGAAATCTGGATCCAGTTCTTGGTAGTTTTTCAGGATGCCTTAACAGTGGTCTGACATTAGCTAGGACACCTATAATGTTAATAGATTAGCATCCGTGTAACGCTTCCAAATGTTCAAAGTGCCGCAGTGTACTATGTAGCTTTCACAACAATCCTGTAAAGTTGGTTAGTATGATTATCCCCATATTCTGAAAAGGGGCTAAGTCAGAGAGACAGTGGCTTTGACCAAGGCCACCTAATAATCACAGGACAGAGACACATACGGAGAGAGAGAGAGAGAGAGAGTCAAAGCAGGGCCTTCCTGGTTTGGTGTCTCTTGGGTGTCTCCTGCTATACCTTCTCCGACCCTTCAGCAGGGTAGAAACAAAGGCTGGGGTGTTGGAGCTTGAATGTGGGGAACCAGGTCCAGATCTGAGCAGCTACAACACTTACTGGGTAGCTTTGGCATGCATTTCTTTTTAGGCCAAGCTGTGCACAGGGCTGCTGGGAGGCTATGGTGCCGTTCTGAGCCAATTTCTGCAAGGAAAAGTGGCAGCAGTGGAGAGGGTGTGGTAGCAGAGTGCAATGCTACTGAAGCCACTTACTTCTGAGTCAGGGCTGCTGCTAGGCTCAGCAGCACTGACCCGCATTGGAGTCCAGCAAGGACTCCTGGCTGGCCGCTAAGAGAAATGCTCCGGTGAATTGTGGTGCTATTCACGCACTCTCTCCTGCCACTTATGGAGGAATCGGCCCAGCAACAGGGTTCCTTAATCAGCAAGTTTTGTGGACTGAACTGCTTGGAAGCCTAAGACATTTCATGTTTTCTTCATCTGTAGCTTCCAAAGATGCTCACAGTTCAGACAACTGATCTGAAATGTGACTCTTTTTGGAGACGTCTCCCCATACAACCGTAAGTTTAGGCTTAGGTTGCTATGATTGTGCAGCTGCGTAGGTAGGCCACATGAGATAGCGTGAAGAATAGCAGCATTTTGAAATTTCACCATCATTGGCCTATTTTTGTTTGCTTGTTTGCTTGCTTGCTTGAGAGCTGTAGTAATCTCATGAGGTTTTGTAGTACTTAACTCTGGAGATGTAGAAAATAGAGTGACATGTAGAACAGAGAGATATTTCTTTTTAAGAACTGACATGGGCTTATGTCTCAAAATAAGCATTGTTAAATAGTTGATGCACCTCCTCTGAAGGAAAATAAAGGATCATTTCTATTGATTATTATTATTATTTATTAATTTGCCCCTGCAGTCTTTATAACCCATATAAAATAAAAAATCTATAGTTTACAAAATAGGATCTTTTTAATATATATATATTTATTTATATATTTCTTTTGTAAAATTATATGTATTTAAATACATCTGAAATGTTGCATGTAAATTAGAAATTCTGTTATAATAGAATAAGAAAAAAAGGCAAAATTTCATCATTTTAACACAAATTTTTGTTTTATGGTTTACATCCCCCCATTTTATTCTGTGACCATTTGGGGGCAAATCTGACACTCCTCTATGGCTACTTTTAACATAAACTACTGCATTTACTACCTGTACTAAAATTTGAAGGATGGGACTGTAAGCATATTTTTCTTTCTGATTATGTGAATGCAGGCTTTTGTATATTATCTTATCAGAAAAGGGGCATTCACAAACTCAAGGGGGAAAAGAAAGACTTATAAGAGCAGCAATGTTCTTGATTTTAAATTGTACTCTACTTTGACGCCACAATATAGAAATAGATTCACTTTGGAACAAACTACAAATACATTCACCACAGTTTGTGACAACTTAATTGTCTACCTAGAGACATTTCAGAGGGTCTGGCAGACCACGTGATTATAAATCTTGCCCAAGGCGCTCTATTTCCTCAATCAGAAAATCGATGTCTTGGTGAGCTGCTGCTGGGTTGGAGATAACCATGCGAAAGAAGTTGACCTTGTCTCCCAGGGGCTGATAGCTGACCATCGTGGTACCATATTCCATCATTCGGGCTTTAATTACCGGGGCCACCTTCACGGACACAGCATGAAAAACAAATCAATATCCTACGGCATCATCCCTTAGTTTATCCTCTGAGTCAAGCTAGATGGGCAGCTGGGGGGCACTCAGGAAGGGGCTCTGGGGAAAAGACCCAGGCACCATTCAAAGGGCTGGGCTCGATCCCCTGCGAACTTACCACATTTTGAAGCAGGTGAATGCACCTTGCCATCCACCTTGACAGCCCTACACAAGCCCATGGAGTCCATGTGGCTTCACCACAAGGGTCCCACAATTAGTCTAGAGCCTACAATTACCTGTACATCCATCCTTGTATGGGACTCCTGCTCCATAACCTCTAGTAGAACTCAACTGTGTCCTGCTGTTACAACATTCTGTGGTTCTGCCCATGCATGTCCCACCAGGGGTTGCTACTGGGGGAAAGGGGCATGTGGAAATGTGTTTTACCCATTGGAAATAAACTAGTAAAACAACTGGCCAGGGCCTCGCCTTCAGCAAGATGGATGCTGGAGATCAGCAAACAACAACCGATTTTAATTATCTTCTATTTCTTCTTCTTGCAGTTTCCTTACCTTTGAAAGTCGGTTCATTCTTTCTTCATTATCCTCCATATTCCGTAAACTGGGAGGCACATACCAGAAGCAAACATTCGTGTGCTGAGGCTAATGGGAGAACAATAACACCTCCTATTTTAAGAGCAGCTCAAGTGCAATAAATTTCATGCTGACCCCTTGCCCCAGCGTCACCCTTCCTATGACAGTGATCAATTGCTGCATGTTTGTTTTCGGTGGCACAATTATCACTGCTGTGATCAGTGCATGTGGTGATACACATCGCTCCCAGTATATGTTTCCTGAAGAAAGAGATGTCCAAATGGTATATACAAGTGTGCCAGAGGCACCACTGGGCATTGGCAGAGCAGTAATCATATTAATGTATACTTAATGCACCAGCCGTGCACATTGAAATAGACACTACATTACAGGCGAAAAGGGTAAATCATGGCTTGAGGGGGTGGCAGTCTGTGTTTTGATAGCAAAGTGTTTCTCAGACATTCTGAACCTTAGCCTTGCTGCTCAGTAACAGACTTAGCGGGGATGGGCCCTCTGAGTACAAGGAAGCTTGCTTCTGAATGAAAACACATAGGATTCCGCTATTGCGCCAACTTCCTGAGTCCTCTAAGAGAGCAGCAATAGTGTGTTAGAAACCAACAGAAATTATAGCAACCAGAGGCACAATCCTGTGCAAGCTTAGACAGAAGAAAAGCATGCAACTCACAGCATGTCCCAGTCAGCTGCCTAAACTGGCAAAGGATTGCTGTGCATGGGAAGGTTTGTTCATAGCTCAGTCAAACAGCAAAGCCAGGTCCAGGATTAGATCCCTGCTGCCTCGGGGATCCAATCCTAGACAAGGTCAGGGAGCAGGGAATGGGAATGATCTCCATTTTGGAGGTTGGAGGAACAAGGTCCACTGGAATAGACCTGCTTTCTTTAACATGGTGCCCCCAAACATTTTAGATTTTCAGCTTGGAATCCTGGGAGCTGTAGTCCAAAATATCTGGAAAGCCCAAAGTTGCAGAAGGCTGAAACAGACAGTTTGGGGCTAGATGAACAAGCAGTGTGATTTGGGATAAAGTGGTTTTCCATGTTCCAGGAGGGGTGCATTTTTCCAGCAGGTTCTTAAATTACTTTGGAAATGAAGGGATCCCTCAGAAAAGGAAGGGGGAAGTGCTCTTGCTTCCTTTTCCCAGCTTTGAGGTTTGCAAGGCAGGAGGTCTGACTGACAGCAATGGTGCATGCATCTTCTAGTACTGGTATAGGCCTTAGCTGGGATCTTTGCACCAATCTTGCGACCTATTCAGGAATCACTATGGGAATCAGCTCTCACACTGATTTCTCCTAGCACTGATGGGAAGAAAAATTCACTTATAAACAATCCCTTGGTATCACTTTCTAATTTTCCAGCACAGTCTAGACTTCTTTATGAATTAATTGATGACTATTAGCATATTGAGGGAATGTCTCTAACAGAACAATTCTATGCATGTTGATCTGGAATTATATTGTTCCTTGTTCAGTGATTTTTTCCAAATAAGTGTGCAGAGGATTGGTGCCAAAGGTCCCTCCAGCTGTTCAAAGTGAAGACATACCTTTCCATCAAACACCATTTCAAAGCCTTCTCTGTTCTTTATTTTGTTATATAGGTATTCTGCAAGTTCCAAGCATTTGTCAATATGTGCTTCAAATCCTATAGTGCCCTTTGGAACAAAGGAGGAAAAGACGCAATGAAGTGCACTAAAACAAAGACACAGTATCTGAAAACAATAATTTCTACTGAAATTATACTAATTCTTCCATAATTTGCACTTTTGCATATAACATAGCACCCACACATTTCATGCAAATATGAACCCTCTTTTGTCCTCTTTTTGACACTGTTTATATGGTCATTCCAGTTTTGACCCTCTGAACAGAATGTAGCTGACCAGCTCTGTTATTGTGGGCCACCAGGAATTAGATAATCCCCTGCCTGGCTAGTAGCAATCCCATTCCACTGGCCAAGCCAACATATTATGGGGCTTTTGGTAGGTCTCCATAGGTCCATATGGTGGAGTGCATTAGACTTAACAGGTGACAAGTTATGCACACCCGACTTAAAGGCAACCTTTCCAAAGGACTCCAATATCAAGAAGACATCAAGTTAATGGTGAGGGCATACAACAAATACTACCAGAAACATAGGTTTATGGAAGCCATTTTAGCAAATGAATTGATTCATTTTTAAGGAAATCTTGGTAAAGAAATTTGAAATCATTAAGGAGGAATCCTTTTTTTTTGGCAACATTTGCAAACTACAAATAAACCTATCCCTTTAGATTCCCTGCAGATATGCCCTAGAAAAGACCAGATTTTGAATTAGTTTCCCACAACAACAATACGCCACTCCTAGTTGCTGCACAGCATGGAAACAAATATTCTAGTCATGGTTTTACCATGTCTAGTTTTGATAATTCCTACAACGAAACCCTTGATCTTTCTCAAAAGCTGTTAGCTTGATTACATGGAAGCCTAATTGCGATGTGGTCAATTCATCTGACCCTGAGGGGTGGATGGGGCTCTCAGTGACACTTGGTTTCTGGTGGCTGGAATGGGAGCTGACATGTCTTCCTCTGTTCACTCTCAGGGCTGTGCCTCCGTGTGTTTCTGAGGTAGAAATCCTGTGTCAGAGAGGACTGTGGCTGGCCCTTGACTGCGGAGCAGCAGTTACCTAGCAACAGACATGCAGCTCTCCTTTGTTGGAGGCCTCGCATGAAGCATGGGGAACTAAAGAACTAAAACCTGGGTGGTAGCAGGATGCATTTGTGTGTGGTGGAGGTATCGTGGGAAATGGGTAGCAGAGACTTTGAACAGGAGTGCAAGGCATGGCCATCTATTTCAAGGGCTTCCAGAGGACTGTCTCCTATTTTGAAGATATCCTCTACAACCTGGTTCTCATGATTTAATGACACACCATGAGCTGTGAGCCATGGCTGGCCGTTGTGTCATCTGAACCCAGCCAGAATTACCGATGGTGGCTATGGGTTTTTGCAAACAAGCCACCTCAACAACCCTTGTTCTAGTGTTTATTCTACCCAGGATGGATTGTTGTGTCATCTGATCCAGTGGTGAATGAGGTGGGTGGCAAGATTGGCAAGTGTTTTCCCAGCCTGACCTGGGCACTGCCAGTGGAAACTGGTCCACAAGTGCCCAAGTGGTACTTTGGGGTGATTCACTGTCCTCCGCATTATGACTGAGAGCTGTTTTTGGCTTCCCGTGGCTTTTCCTCCCTTTATCCTCTATGCACTGGCCCACTTTTTTTGAATCACAAAATCCAGCGATCCCTGTTTTGACAGCACTTCAAAATATGCAAGCAGAACCTTGGAGGAGCTGTCTGCAGTTGCAAACTTTTTTAAAAAATGGGGAAGCCCCCTGATATGCACAAATATTCTCTCTATTTTAAGATATTCTCTCTATTTGGACTTGCACAGCTGCAGAAGTTCACACTTACAGAGGTCCAAAAGCCTAACTGGACGCCACTCCCCTTTTAAAAGGAGCTGAAGTTTGACACCGAGCTGTGAAGATTATTGGGAACAAGTGGGAAAGTGAGACCTCCTTAAGACAGTGTATTTCCCCTTCCTGCTCCAAATAAAGATTTCGCCACAAAGGGGAAGTGAATCCCACCAACTCTCATTTCATGAACAAAGAACACTAGTTCTTTGGTTTGGCTTGACAGCTTACATTTTGACAATTGCCAGTCCAAAACAAAGATGGGGAAGAGCATTTGGCGCCTCCCCGGAACACTGTCTTCCTGAATGTGGCCAGCAGGTACCTCCACGGATATCGTCCAGGTGATGCTGCCCATTTTGGGGTTTGCAACCACAGATGGTCCCTTCAAGTTTCCACTTGGACACTTTCAGGGAGCTGTCCGTAGTGGTCAAAATGGGCATTGTGAAAGCTGACTATCAGACTTCCTATTAGAGCAATACTATAATGAACCCAATAATCTAGGAAGGCTGTGGGCTCTTCCACACTCATGGCATTCAGGATACAGATATAGACAGCTGTCCCAGAGGAATAGTTTAACTTGGAGTCCTGCACTGAGCAGGGGGTTGGACCCAAAGGCCCTCTGACTGCTTCCAACTCTACTGTTCTATGAAACAAGGAAACCAGTTTTCGTGATCTCCAAAAAGAAAAGATGAAAGTGAAAAAAGGCACAGTGAGCCAAAAAAATAAATAAAAAGGCTCCCAAATGCAGTGAAGAGATGACTTGGTCTTACTATTTATTTATTTAGGATATTTGTATGCTGTCCTTTGCAAAAGCCTCAGGACGGCTTACACAAATAAAATACAAATATCTAACATAATGTAAATAAATTAACAACTCACTCTGGCTGCAGTTAAAATATGATGATAACATTCAATATTAAAACTTATTAAAATATTGATTAAATAAAAAGGACTTAACCTGGTGCCAAAAAACATATAACGATGGCGCCAGGCAGACTTCTCTGGGGAGCACATTCCATAGACAGGGCACCACCGCAGAGAAGGCCCTCCTCCGGGTACTCACCCTCCTAATATCTTTCCCAGAGGGTTCCCAGAGGAAGCTTCTGCTGCTGATCTCAGGGGGTAGGAGGGCAAATAGGGAAGAAGGCGTTCCTTTAGGTATCCTGGTCCCAAGCCGTTTAGGGCTTTATAGGTAATAACTAGCACCTTGAATTGAGCCCGGACTTCGATGGGAAGCCAGTGGAGCTGATAGAGGACTGGGGTTATATGAGAACAATGCCCAGTCCCCGACAGCATCCTGGCAGCTCTGTTTTGCACCATCTGACGTATCCGGACTGTCTTCAAGGGCAGCTCCACGTAAAGCACGTTACAGAAATCCATCTGGGAAGTAACCAATGCGTGTGTTACTGTGGCTAGGCAATCTTCCTCCAGGTAGGGACGCAGCTGATGGATTAGCCAAAGTTGAAGAAAAGCGCTCCTCGCCACCACTGTCACTTGAGCTTCCAAGGACAGCTCCGGGTCAAGGAGTACTCCCAAGCTGCGGATGCTGTCCTTTAGAGGGAGTGCAACCCCATCCAGGGTAAGGCCCAAGTCACCTACCCAGGAGCTCGAACCACCCACAAACAGGACCTCTGTCTTGTCTAGATTGAGCTTCAGTTTATTGGCCCTCATCCAGCCCATTACCTCAGCCAGGCACCAGTTCAGCACAGCCACTGCTTCACCTGGATTGGTGAAAAATGAGAGTAGAGCTGGGTATCATCAGCCTACTGATGATTCCGCAGCCCACACCTCCTGATGACCTCTCCCAGCGGTTTCATGTAGATGTTGAATAGCAAGGGGGACAAAATGGAACTCCATGGCATAACTGCCATAACTGCCATAACTGCCATGGCGCAGAGCCATAGTCCCCCAGTACCACCTTCTGAAATTGGCCATTGAGATAGGAGCGGAACCACCGCCACGTGGTGCCTACAACTCCCAATCCCGCAAGCCTATCCAGAAGGATACCATGGTCAATGGTATCAAAAGCCGCTGAGAGGTCCAGGAGAAACAACAGGGATGCACTCCCCCTGTCTCTCTCCCTGCACAGGTCATCATACAGGGCAACCAAGGCTGATTCAGTACTGTATGCAGGTCTGAAGCCAGACTGAAATGGGTCCAGATAATCAGTCTCATCCAAGAGTGCTCGGAGTTGTCCCGCCACCACCCGTTCCAACACCTTGCCCAAAAACGAGATGTTGGCCACTGGTTTATAATTGGCGGCCATCTTTGGATCCAGAGACGCCTTCTTTAGGACAGGCCTGATTACTGCCTCCTTTAAAGGAGTGGGCACTTGGCCATCCCTCAGAGAGGCGTTAATAACCTCCAGGATCCAGGAACCAATCCCGTGTTTGGCTTTGGTCAGCAGCCACGAAGGGCAAGGGTTGAGTAAGCAGGTGGTAGGACGTACTTGTCCAAGCACCTTGTCCACATCATCGGGCCGCAGTAACTGAAGTTCAGCCATTAATATCTGACCAGACGGAGTCATACTAGGGTGTCTCCTGCTTGGAGGACCAAGGGGAGAGGGGTAAAACCACCCATGATAAGTCTGATGTTCTGTTAGGCGTGCTGTTTGTTGTTCACAGAAGAACCAATCCACCCTGATTGCCAGGCTGGGTTGTTGTGATGTTCGCACCTGCCTTAGTTGGATAGCTGTCCTGTCTATGTTCAGTTTGAAGATGAGGAGCTGCCAGATCTGGGCCTTGAATTTGCCCACAATCTCACAGCAGACTGTGGAGGCACACGGGTCATGTGGCCACACCTCATATGGGTTTTTCACACTTGTGAGATGTATTATATTTCTATTTAAATTTAATAATCATTTCCAGATTTGCATCCATACATATAAATTTACAAATGCAAATTTTATGCAAACAGTGTCCTCTTTTATCTTTCCTTTTTTTTTTTTGTGGGAGAGGGGATGGATACCCTCTTATTTGAAAATATGTAAGTGGCCATCCCGGGGAGTGCTGGTCACTTTTTTCCAAACCAAATTGAAATGAGAGCCCCACAGCCTGCTTCAAATTGCCCCCTACCTTGATTATCTTTATATCCCTGGAAAGGTCAGTTACACTTTTCCCTGATATAAACCAGCCTCCAGGAGGTATCCCAGGAGCTCATCAGGACAGTTCCCCATCCTTGTCCTGCTGGCTCCTGCTCTCCAAAGTAAATTCTCTTGCTCCTTCTCCCAGCATTTAAAAGTGGGAAGGAGGAGGAGGATGGAGTGGCAGGTTTTATTAATTGAGACTGTGAAGCCTATAGTCAGCAAACCAAAACACCTGGGCTTATCTACTGTTCTTTCAAACAGAATTTTTACAAGTCAAAGAGAGAACTCATTTGTGACCATTGCTCTTAAAGCATATGGCACGGATGCATGCTCACCTTTGCCCTCCACATCAGCCATAGCTTGAAGACATCAACATGGCGCCCACATTGCAAGGCCTTGTCTCCAGTGTCATATGACAGGTCATAGTGCTTGTCTTGTTGAAAGAGGTAGGAAGCATGCATTTGATTGCAGCTTTGCATCAGCCCCTTTAAAAACAAAAGAGGGGAGGGGAGGGGAGGAGGGGAGGGGGGAGAGACAGGCATATCCTGAAGGATGCATGGTTTTCATGCCTTCAAGCAAAAGCTTCCTAGGCAACCCTTCCTAAAGGGTTGCAAGAAATAACTGATGCGTTTTTTTGATGGCTGCAACAGCTGTGACATGGAAAGGATGCAGGTTCTAGGCTATTTTCCCCTCCATCTCCTACCATTCGTCATCCATTTCCTGGCAGTTGTTGTAAACATGGCTATTCCTAGTAACTAACAATGTCTACTAGAATTTATTAGAACAGGCAGCCTCATTTCAGCTGCTTTCTTCATTCAGAGAATGCTAAGATAGTCTTCTGAGGAAGCACATACAGTTTCCATGGAACCCGAGTGCTACAAAATGCTTCATTCATGCAGAATCCTGATCAAAAGCCTGCTGAGCTTCACTGTTGCCCCACACAAAAAACCTACAAGCTAAAACACACTCAACAATCATCTGAGGCCACACATTTTTATTGGTGGACAAGTTATTGGAGGGTAAGGCCGACCACATGCCCTTTGGATCTCTGTCCATCCCAGCACATAAAAGGTACCCAAGGGGTGAGTTGCATAGTGGAGACTTTAATGAAACCTTCCAAGCACATCATGCTTCTGTAAAGGAGGCCATGGTAAGATCTGACCTGAAGACGTCCTCACTGACTCTTAGAAGCCTCGATAATGATCAGTGAGTTTTGACTTTCCTTTGTTTTGAGCAAGTGGTAGCCTTGATACATCAGGTTTGTTCTGCTTTGTGTTTTTGTTTTTAATAAAACTGGATCCTCTTCCTGTTTGGGTCCTGGCTTGATTACATCCAGAGCTAGATGGAGCACCTGCATCCCTGCTGGAACTCCCAGCAGTGAACATCATTGTGTCCCTCTGGGATACTTGTCCCTTATGGGACTTCGAGGTATTGTGTTCCAGTGGCTCCAGTCCTAGCTGACTAAGCATTCCCAGAAAGCGATGCTGGCTGCTTTTGCTCATTTCCTTATTTCATTAGTCACTTTGAGCACTACTCTGGGAAGGGAAAAATAAATCAGGGGTAGGCAACCTGCAGCCTCAGCCTAATTTCGTGTAGCCATTGGCCTGATTTCAAAAGCCCTCTCCATGCCCTCAGAACTCTAGCAAGAGTGAACTGCCCCTTCCCTGGCTGCCCACTGAGCTGGAAATAAAAGAAAAATGAAAGAGGAGCTGAATTTTCAGGTGCTATCAGAAGAATGGCAAGGAGGTTATTGAGATCCAACAGATAGTGTAGCAAAGTTTCCCAGCGGCCAAAAGCATGCCAACGTCTCTTAAGAAGAGCAGCCAGAGATAATGGCCTTGAAGTTGCTTCTGCAATTATTCCATAGATAAGCCTTGCCTTTGCTGTGAGAACAAAGCTGTTTACCTTACAAATCAGCTTTGTTCCCAGGAAGTGGGAGGAGCCCGGGTGCATCTGACAATAATGGGAGAGAGCAGCCTTATAAAGTCCACAGCAAGAGGCATGACTCTTGTTCTCTGCCTGGGAGAGGTGCTGATGCATCATTTTCTCAGACAAGCTCTGGAGGCCAAAAGAGCACACCTGGCCTGTTCAGAGAACTAACAGGCTAGAGAAGGGAGAATCCTTGAAGCTAAAGTGTGGTGATTGGGCTGGACCAGCCCTCATGTTCAGTTCAGGCAGCTGAAAGAGAAAGGAGGGCAGCAGAAAGCAAAAAAGGAGTGACTTATCCATTTTTGGCTTGGGTCTTGTCCACTGCCTGCTGACTTGCAGCCTTAATGGGATATCCATAAGAAAATACAACCCTTGACATTAAAAAATGAGCTGAGATATATAGATCTGGAGAGATTGGTTGGAGAAAGAAAACTGTTTTTCAGAAAAGTTTGTCCACTATTCCTGATATTCTCACTGGTGAATATCCAATAAACTGCTGAGGAACATGAAGGAACAAAATAAAATAAAATAAAATAAAATAAAATAAAATTCCAGCTCCTCTATGAAAGTGGCTGCAGGTTTTGGGGGTTTTTTTGGGGAGGGGGTTCTGATGCAATCTTCACCACATTTTCTATCATGATTAAAAATACCGAGCACGTTAAAAGGCAAAGGTGCAGAGAGAGTAGAGATGCAAACCCTTGGAGACATACCTCTTCTCGAACAAGCAGGGCAGAACATTGCAGTGGGACCCCCATCATCTTGTGTGGATTCCATGTCACAGAATTGGCCCTAGAATAACAACCAAACTTTGAAGGGAGACATTCTTAGAACATTTAGGTTTGATTTTCTTTAAAAAACAAAGAGTTGGTATGGCTGTTTGAGTTTTTCTTCATCATGCAATATTTTTACAGAGCTTTGGAATTTGCAAGTGATATTTTGTTTGGTTTTAGGGTGGGTGAATTAGGAGGGAAGATGATACTTCTACCTTTTTGATGAAAAAGTCATTTACCTGCCAGATATTCTACTGGAAATACTGTAAATGTGGAATATTATTTTAAAATATCTGAAACTGTTGAAATGCTATGTTCAGTTAGCACTGAGTACTGAAAACGAGGCACATTGAAGACCACCAGTGCAAACATTGGGTGCTGAGGAGCATGCCCAGAGAGCGCTAATTTTCTGCAATGGATGTGCAGTTTCAGCATCTGAGACATGCATGCTAAGCAGCCGTGTTAATGGCTGCCAGTCCACACCACTGAAAGGAACCCAAGCAGAACCAGCGCAATCTGTTCAGCCCAGATGGGTGGATTTCCATGGAAACTGCATGGACTGCATGCTTTCCTGAGCGAAATTCAGACTGTACCCTCCTTCCACCGAAATATGGATTTGCCCCTTTCCTGCACTCTGTCATTACATTTTGAATATATTACCTGGAATGTAAAACACAATGTAGCTCCTAGCTTTTGTGACAAAGGATGATCAGAAAAAGGCCTTGGTAAATCAGATGAAATGAAAGGCACTGTGCTAGGCTCGTTATGCGATGTAAAGATCTAGTTCATCATTTCCGATAGTAATCAGAGCTTGAAAAATAGTTTCCAGTGCTGCATTCGGCAAGAGCACATGGATTGATTTTAATCTGTAGGAGTTTGGGGGCAATCGCTGCAGTACTGAGCAGTATCTAATCATATTCCCATCAGCCTACCTTTCAACACCATTCAATTTCCATTTATGCTTTCTTGACATCAACAGCCCACCGCCCCACGCTCCCTGGAAAAGAAGACAATTAATATGAGTTGTGCTCATGGATATTGAATTCGGGGACCCAGTTCCAAAGGTGCAAGTCTGTTGGGGCCTGCTCTTTGTGCAGTTGATGACAGAGCTAAAAATGCGGAGATGAAACCACAGAATATGGATATTGATGAGCAGCGGGGATCTAGTTGTGAGTTTGGCATTTATCGCCACAAGACGTGATGATGGCACAAGGTTAGGTGGCTTAGCAAAAGAGGAAGATCATATTTCCTTCGATGCAAGGAACTGCCATCACTCACTTTGTAAACCACTTGTGCAGATCTAATAAATAAATAAGACAGATTTGTGGAAGATGGGTCTACTGTCCACACTGGTATCCATGAGAACCAAATGAAACCTCCATATCCAGAGGCAATATATCTTTGAATATCAATTATTGGGGATGAATAATTCTGCAATAAAGCTAGGTAACTTTAGACCCTGGATTTAATGATCTAATGGGATTCACCTTTTAGATAGCTATGTCCATTACTCCAGCTGTGAATCAACTAATACTTCCTTTCACTCCCCCCTCCCCACCATTCTGTACATCACAGTTGTCCATGCATTCTTGATAGGTTAGAGCAAAAGAAAAGACTGCTTGCAAAAAAAGAACCATTGTGCAGTTTTGCATTTAGCTCGCGCACTGCTCTCTTGCAGCAAACAGAAGGTGGGCCTTCGATGTGGTGGGACCCAACTTAAGGAATGATCTGCCCACCAGCCATTGGGAAGCACGAGCTGTATCCTACTTTAGGTGCCAATGAAAGGCCCATTGCTTTACTCAGGCCTTCCCTAAGTGAATGTGTTGTTTGGTAAGTTTGTCTGTAATTATGGTGGTGTTCTAATATACTTTATTTTTATTATATGTGTGTGCATGTGTGCATTTTATGTATTTTAATATATATTGTGAATTGTTAAGAAATATTTTAAATATATTTTAAATTGGTATATAAATCTGTTCAATAAATAAACAGAATCTATGAGGCTTTATTGCTAGATGATCTCATATTTGTAACCCAGCGCTTCTATCCTGTGCTAATTCTATACTTACATCCACGTGCATCCAGATCTTGTACTTCTTGCAGATATCTGCAATGGCTATCAGTGGATCGAATGCTCCATATACAGTAGTTCCTGCTGTGGCACTTACTAAGAATGGAACAAATCCCTATGGGAAAAGCAAGAAAATGTTCTAGTGGAGCTAATATACTTTAGATATGCAACCCAACAGCTCTGTATGCTAAACTTGTGGTACTATTCGAGGACAAGGTGAACAGACCAGAAGGCTGGAGTCCCCGGAGGAGGACGAGAGGAGAGAAGCGTTCTGTTGGGGCTTTGTTAAAATGGCAACAACTCAAAGAAAACGAGCCTTCCATTGCTTTCTGCCCCCCTTCCCCGTTCCAATTCCTCTCCTTTTCTCTCCCTTTCTGACTTGCAGGTGCAATGCTACTTCCTCCCTTCCCTGTCCTTTGAAAGAACAGAGCTTCAACATTTTTTCAGACCAAACTCACCAAAACACATCTTTATTCAGATGTGAAGGAAATCACATTGATTTCGATAGTGCTGACTTGTGAGAAAGTCAGCATGGGAACGGGGCTACTTTCACTTGTCACTGAGTGCGATGCTGATCTTGCAAGCTTCACCACATGGGGAGGTGCGAGGACAAGAGTAAGCAGCACAGCAGTTTCTGCTTCTCAGTGAGTGTTTGTGAGGCGGCAGGAAGAGCTGCCAATGATCCCCTTTTTAAAATAGTTGAAGCAACAAATTGACTAACTGAACAAAAACATAAAGAAATGAACCTTGGATGGGCCAAGTTCTACTCCGACTTGCCTAGTGACCTGGAGAGCAACACTGATTCCTCCTTCCCCTCACTTGTCCTTTGAAAAACTAAGTTTGCAACTGCTCTTCAAGGCTCCCCAGTTGTCTCCTTTGTTCTTGTGCCTCAAGGGACAACAACATGCATGAAATACACGTGTATTTAAAAGCAAAGCGCATTATGAGGAAGCCAGTGCAGGAGAGGGGCTGCGCTTGCTTGCTTTCAGCTGCAGGGAAGTAGTGGTGCTGGTCCTTCTGGTTTCACCCCATAGGGGGGCAGCAGCAAGCAGCCCCACAGCTCCCCCTCACCTCTCCCCTGCTCCTCCATGATTTTTTGTCAGGGGGCAGAAAGAGCCATGGGACACATGGGCATGGTGCCATGGACCAGGACTCCAAACATTTACCTGCAGGGTACCCTAATCCTTTGCGCTGTGAGGAGGTGAGTCCAGAGTTAAGGAACTGGCCCTGGAGAGGCATCACAAAGATTCCATTTCCCCAGACTCAGTTTCCAAAAGATATCCTGGGAGCTGGCTCTAGGGTTGGGACAAACCCTTTCAAAATCTGTCCCTCCCGCATCCACAGACATGCTCTCACACTTGGCTCAGTCCTGCGAAGGGAGGCAAGCCAAGAGGAAGCCTGTGAATGTTCATGGACCTCAGCTGCACAAGCAGCAGTGTTTCCTGTCAGGTACAGGCACTGCTCAAAGAGCGGTTGCAGGATGCAGAAGAAGGTTGGGGATGCCATGAGCAGGCATGCCAGGTACCATTCCCAGCAAGCAACCTTCCCTTCCTGGTGCAGCTGGCAGTGGCAGGACCAGGCACAGAAGAGGGGCACGGAAAGAAGAGGGGCACTGCTTCAACAGTGCAAGGGGCACACTTCCCAGCAACCGCTCCTGAAAATGCTAGCAGTTCTTGCTGGGTGCTCGGAAGCAGAGCTGCGGCAAAGCCGACCGAAGCCTGGGGAGCTGGGCACCGGGGATCTGCTGGATTCCCACCTCCAAACACATTCCTCACACATGCCTGGTTGGCTCTCCTACAACCAGATGCCTTCTTTCTTCACACTCTGTGGGCATTAGCCATGAACAAATTCACATCCCACAACTGGGGCAACTTGAGGCTGCTAAAATAAGCCAGTTCTCTTCGAGAGACAAAGCCTAAGTCAGTGTGGAAGGGGACCAGGTTCACCTAAAGGAAGCCAAGCTCCTACTTAAGGCTTAGTCTTGCTCTGCTCTTTGTTGGAGTAGCACACAGGCAATCCTGTCTGGCTTCTAGCCCCACTTAGAGTGCTGTCTGGTTCTGATCTATTCATGTCCAGTTCCCTGTGAATCCTGGACCACTCAGATCCCTGACAAGGATCTGGGCCTGGTAGAACCCTGCAACCCAAACTATAGCAGCACAAATCCCTGCCTACAAGTGAGGCTGTGGAACTGGAATGGTGCACCCTAAAAGGACAAACATCTCATCTGGGCTATAGTCCCGGTTCCAGAGTGGTCACCTGGAGGCTAAGCCGCCTTAGTGGCATGGAGTAGCTTTTTTCAAGCTGATTTATTCGTTATGGCTGTTCCCAGGCAGGAATACTCTGCTCATAGAGATCCATGCTCTGGTAATGGCCTACCTGGTTTATTGTAATTTTTTGTACATGGGGTTGCCCTCAAACACAGTCCAGATGTTGCAATTAGTGCAGAATGCAGTGGCCGGAATTCTAACTGGCAATCCAGAGGAAATTTTATTGCACCATTCTAAAAGAATGACATTAACTGCCCATTTACTTCTGAGACAATTCAAGGTGTTGCTGCTTACCTTTAAACCCTAAATGGCTTAGGACCCAAGTAACTGAAAATATATCCTTATTCTAACTTGTCTGTGCTTTGCATTTCTTAGAGAAGACGTTTCTCCAGATTCCTTTACCAAGGGATAGTTGTCAAGTATGAACAAAGGAGAGTGGCCTTCTCAGTGGTAGCAACCCTAAAATTTTAATTAATGCTGATGCTATGACCATCTAGATGCCAGGTTAACACTATTTAATTTTTAAGCTGTTGTATGTGTTAGTCTATTCTAGAATTGGCTTACTGTATGGCTCATGTTTCTTACAGGTCTTCAGAAAAGCTCTGAAGATTTATTAGTTTTGCTTTGGCTTGACTATGCAATAGTTTGACTGTGGCTTTCTATAGCATGAGAGGTTGTAGATTTCCCTGGTACTATTTGTTCTTTTCTGTATTTGTATTAAAGTGCGTTTCTATTGTACTTCAGTCACATAGATTTTTACTGTTTTTATCTTGTCCACTGCTCTGAGAGTGGACAAGGCACCCTAAAGGCACCCTAAAACTCACTTTGAATAAATAAAGACATTCAATTATCTCTTTACCCTTTCCGTTTGCCAAGTTATTGTAGTTACTCCCTGCAGGTGGCAGCAGATTGCCAAGACAATAAAAATGTTTTGTTTACACAGAGCTTTTCCTGACACATAACAACATTGCCATCTGGAAAGGCCATGTTTGCATTTCATTTCTGAACCCTGTTGAATGAGAAGCCTACATGGGCCGACGTCATTCTGTCGGCTTCAGTTGGATGATATAAGGGGCAGCCAAAGTCAGACTGTTTAGATTTAGAAGTGTGTCTACATAAAAGAAGCCTTCTATAAACAGTTCCCACAGAAAATGTTATAGTACTTTAAGTCTACTCTTCTCGATGGAAGGGTTTTCAAACAATATGTTTGGGGGCTGGTGTTAAGAAAAATCCAAACATAATTAAAACCCAGTGGGTTCGATCCAGATTTAGGCCTGTGCAATGAATCTGGTAGAACCAGAATTTCCAACCCCCTGCTCTGCATAGAAGTTGCTCCAGGCCCCTGAAAAATCATGCCTCCAGTCCAATCCAGTCCACCACATGGAAGGAGAATGTGATGATCTGTAGCACTGGGTGGGGAATACCAGACAAGGAGGGAGAGGCATCTTCTGCCCGCGGGACTCCTGGGTCAATGGCAGTCAGACCTTAGATCCAACCCATTGCTTGGTTTAGGGGTGCTGAATTACTTTCTGCCAAAGGGCTTAACTCTATTTTGGAGACATATGGGGGGCTGCTTGCCAGTGGTGGATGGGCCAAGAAAAAGGGGCAGGCCCAAAACACTAGCTCTTTTTAGCTGAAAACTTTACCACTAGTAATGAAGCCTGAGGTGGCATTAAGAAACACTGTCGCCATTTGGAATGGGGAAAACATTGTACAAAACACCAAATGGTTGGTGACTGGGGGGAAAGGAGAAGGGGCACATCCGTCCGGAAACTGATGAGTGCTGGACTGGGAACTGTGGATGGCCAAATTTGGTCGTTTGGACATTAAGTTCTGCACCAGCGCTTTGGTTTTGCCACAGACACCATCTCCTCCGTTTCAGACACACAATGCTATATATATTTTAAAAACCCTTCCTGTTTCTCCACTTCAGATGGTGAATGGGTGGACTGAACCCTTCATTAGGAATGCAAACCAGAAGTGGTAAGGAAGCACTTCTTTAAACCGTGCAGAGTTAAACGATGAGATCCATTTCCATGAGGTCTGCTGATGGCCAGCTGTTTGGGTGGCTTGAAAAGGGACTGAGCAAATTCACAGAGGAGCAGGCTCTCAGTGGCTGCTGGTCCTGATGGCTCTGTGCTCCCTCCCCTGTCAGAAGCAGGGCACTTGTGGAGGCCACTTCTTGGGGAACATCAGTAGGACGTTGTTCATTGCTCAAGGCCCTAATTGTGGGTTTCCTGCAGACAACTAGTTCAGCGCTACATCCACAGATTGCTGAGCAAAACGGATCTTTGGTCTGATCCAACATAGCTCTTCTCTTATTCCTAAACTCATATTTTGAAGGAAGGAAGGGAGGGAGAGAGGAAGGAAGGGAGAGAGGGAAAATTCTATGGCATGGCACAACTTAGAAAAATAAGACTAAAATTCAATAGGCAGTCCTCACAGGAAAAACTATGTTCTTTCGATATGTTCCTGTCCAAGGCTGAAGCCTCCACACATTACAAAACAACTCAAAAATAGTAAAATCAACTGCTTCCTGAATTCAGAGAAACAGAGTTCAGAGAGCCAGGGCCTATATGCATGCAAAGGTCATGAGAAAACTGTCTTTTTTCACTATGGAATAGTGACCATAACTGGGAGTTTACTTACCTTTTGCTTTGCCTCAACAATTCTCCTTTCAAGATCAGATGGGATCATTTTCCCTCTGGAATAAACAATAAAAACCTAATGGGTATGATCTGGCACCAGAATTTTCTGATCAGATTGTAACTCAAATTATTTAAGTGGGATGAGATATTGTTGATTCATGGGAATCTCTCTATTGTTAATCTTCAGAAACACAAGCTTCACTAGCCACTCATAAAGCAATGCATTTTCCCCTTCATTATCTGCCTTCTTACAGAATCTGAGTTAGATGATGACTAGGTTGGAAGCCATATTTTGCTCTTATTTATGCAAATCTGAGCTCTTTCCAGTCAGCATCTGATCTTATCCTTAGTGGAGAGACTGAATATGTAGAAATCAAAGGGCTGAATGTGAAAATATGGTTGATTAGATCATTCAGCTCTTCACTGAAGGTCAGCACTCTTGCTTCTCGTTAAATCAAGTGTGGGTGCTTGATAAACAATCCCTGCAATTCAAGCACTGATCCAGACTCTTGCATACCACAATAAAAAAGGCTATTGCACTGGTACAGTCCTGAGACTGGCTGAATAATCCTGATACCAATTCCGAGAGAGAGAATGAGAGAGAGAGAGAGAGAGAGAGAGAGAGAGAGAGAGAGAGAGAGAGAACTTGAAAAGGAAACATATATGTATGTAGAAGCATCACATCTTACAGCCTTCCAGGGGCCATACTATCTCAGAAAGCAGCTCAGGGAATCATACATTTGAATGTTCCCCATACATAAGATAACTTCCTGCATCTGGAAAATACTACATCAGTAAATGGCTAGGCCAGAATCATTCTGTCTGCAAAGCTAACAGTCTAATGGCCAGGGAATTTTTAAAATGGGGAAACAGTCAGTCATGAGATTGCCCTACCTGCAATATGTTGTCATACAGTCCAAGGAGTACATGATTCTATTGAAGGTATGGAAAAACCTTAAGACTGAAGTCCACGGACTTCTTATGCTGGTCCATTTAATGTTGCTCCATCAATTTAAGCTGATCTACCCAGAGTTCCACTTAATCTGAGAATTTAACCGAATGAACTATCTACATATCTACTGTCATGACTGGCTTTCTAATACATATCAACTTAGGTTTATGAAGGCTGCAGTTCAATGCCCATCTTCTCATTCTCTCATTAATTTATATTCAGGGCTAGCATCAAAGACAGGGAAAGTTGGGCACCTGCTGAGGGCCCACACCCCAGCAGGGGTCCACTGACTGGACCCTGCTGGAGCTGCATTCCCCTTCACCATTGCCACCTGCTTCTCCTTCTGGCCCAGGCCACAGTGCTGCTGGTGAGGAGCAGCCATAGATGGCACTGCCCTCTTGCTCCCTGACCCTCTGCCTGTCAGGCAAGGAAGTGGCAGCTATGACGAGAAAGTGGAGGAGCAGCAGCAGAACTGGCGACAGTGGTGGTGAGGAGGTAGATGTGTGGAAGCAGGATGTCCAAGGACCCATCAGCTGGGTCATTCTGTATTTTTATAACAGAGCACCATACCTTGATGTAAATAATACATCTCTGTCAATCTGAAAATGCACACGCAAATGCACACACTCCCTTGGATCTAGACTTACTCATGACTAATTGCCTCACGGGTTTCACTTGGTCTGTCTTAAGCATGACTAAGCCAGTCCAATCCACACTCTAGCGTTCTGTCCGTGCTACCCTGAAAGTGCTCGTCCTCATCTGCTCTGAGGGCAGATCCCAAGGCCCAGTGCGGGAGCTGCTCTGCAGCATCAGAGCTGGGACTCCGAGGCATCCCATGGCCCTCTGGATGCCTTCTAGCTGCCTCTGCATCACTCTGCCCAAGATGCCAAAACATCACCCAGTGCAGATTGCACCCCCCTAGGAGCATAGCAAGCTGCCTTATACCAAGCCAGGCCTTGTCCATCTGGCCTTGTACCGTTGAAACTGACCAGCAGGGCCTTCCCAGGATTTGGGGCAGGATTCTGTCCTAGTCCTGTGTGGAGAAGTGATTCAGAACACGTCTTCCTTCCTTCCTTCCTTTCTTCCTGCTGTATTGCAGCACAGGTCTTCTTAGGACGATTACAGATGTGCTTACCTTTCATCACACCTGATCAAAATCACACTGTCAGTCCCAATTCCTAAGGCTGCTGCTCCTTTCTTCACAGAGAAATGACTCTGAAAAAGCAATTGATTATCTTATGCAATGCTTGCTTCTTTGACTATGAAAGGATCATGAAGGAGCACCCATGGGAACAATCTACTAGGAATATCTCCTGTGCAAATCACACTCTTACGCATGTCCCCTGTGCAAGCCGTGGTGAGAAGGGGGAGTTTCATGCAGAGCACTGAACAGTTATATTAGGACTAAAGACAAGAGAGACTCTTGTGGCACATTAAAAGCCTAACACATTCATTGTGGCATGAGATTGGCTTCCTCCAGATGACCGGCGCTACAGTTCCCATCTTTTCCAGCCATCTGATGCTAGGAGCTGAGGTCCAATGCATCTGAGAAGTGCCAGGTGAGAAACACACACAGTTCGCTGTATGAAAGCATGAAGTGTTTTTCACAGTTACAAATACACGCCACCCAGAGAGCTTTGTCTGTGGGGTGGTATGGAAATGAAGATAATAATAATGTCCACATGATTGCTGGTAGGGATGACATCAATGTAAACAACAAGGTCAGAGGGAAATGAAGTGCAGAACAGTACAGACAGCACCAATGCTCTCTTCACAGCGGCCACTCTCAAAAGACTTGTTGCTGATAACACAAACTTCTGGGCATTGGTTGCGCCAGGCTCTGCATTTCATTTCCCTTTAATTTCACTGCTTACAACCTCCCCCACTTATCATGTCTTGTCTGTTTATTACACCTCTATACCTCTCAATAGCCAAAGCTCTCTTGGTAAGCAAGTACAATCCTAAAATGCAGCATAATAAGCACAATATGATGCTTTTTAAAAATTTACAAGTACAGAATTATACTGTAGTGTATGAATCTGAGTCACAGGCTTGTACCATTCTACCAAGAAGCAAGAATGGGCATGTTGTGAGCGGAGCTGGCTGGTGCTGGAGGTCAGACTAGATGGCCCAGGAGGTCCCTTCTGACTCGCTCTGTTTCTATGTTTCTATGTTTCTAAGATGAGGCAGTTGTCTTGGGTGACAGATGGTGGGAGGCAGGAAGGGAAGAACTGGGTGCCTTGCAGCTGACTCTGCGCCCCCTAAATTGCCCTGTTGCTTCCAGGTTCAGTGGAGAACCCTGTGCTATCATGAATGTTGAAAACAAATCCATCTGCCAGCGCAGTCAGCTTTTGTACCTGACGGTGGAAAGGGAAGCAGTGCCATCTTGTCCTTATTTGTCCTGGCTCAGGTTACAGGTTTATATTATAATGCCTATAGCTCAAGAGAGCACTTCACACATGGACTGAAGTCCACAGAGGTTTATGCCATAAATATTTTTAGCACTGTATGTACCCAAAGCCCTTGACCGGTCTGCATGTTGCAACAGACTGGCAGGCCTAGCCAGGGCCAGCCCTACCATTAGGCACCCACAACAGGTGGTGCAGCAAAGGATGCCAAGCGCCCCCCTCTGCCTCGCGAGAAGCCCCTCTGCCCCTCCCCTGCTCTGCATGTGCTGCCGCAAGCATGCAACTGGCAGGGCTCCCTAGGTCTTGGCAGTCCTAGCAAGCGACCCACTAGGCCAGCCACCTGCCTTCTCTTTCTGGGCCAGCTGGCCACTCACCTGCCCACTTGTACCTGGTGCTCATGCCACAGGAGTCTGACAGTTTGGCCACCGCTGGGGCACAAGACAGGGGTGAACTGGCAGGCCAGCTGGCTGGGCAAGTTAAGGAGTCCAGCAGAAGACCCAGGACTGTGGCTGAGGCTAGCCCTCTGGGAATTGCTCGGGGAGGAATGTTGCTGATCAGCGGCTGCAGCTATCCCAAGAAGGACCAACACCGAACAGAACCCTAGGAGTGTATCAACTGCTAAATGCAATTTTATGCCCAAAGGTCCATAGGAACACAACACAAAATGAGTCATGGTTGCTCCTTATTTGTTGCACTTAGAGCTGTTCTACGTGAGACTGCTAATCTTTGTTTTCATTTTTGGTGTTGTAGAATTAAGATCCCAGCTCTACCCTGCTTTTCTACTACATCACCTCTAGGTGGTGCTGTGCTTGGGTGGAATAACAGAAGTAGGAAGATAGATTTTCTTTCTTTCATAAATAATTCCCACACTAGAAAGTTTTTCCTACACTTTGCCCAGACTAAAAAATAGGGTAAGTGCTTTTAAAAAACAGAAGCAAATTTGGAAAATCATAATATTTCCTAAAGAATCTGTAAACATCTGAATAAAGATTCATCTATGTACAATACATGCCTTATGCAGAAAAGTTCTTTATATAACTCAGGTTGTGGGGGACACGTGCCACTTCCAAATTTTTTCTGATTATCTGAAGAGTTGCTTTTAAAGTTGTATAGAACTTTAAAATATTTTCTGAATGGAGACACACACACACACAACTCTTCTGTGGCAACGCAGTTAAGCCTCTAAGATACAACCCTACACGGGCATAGACAGAACCCCTCACTCAGTTTTCAGCATGGCTGCCTGGGGCATGCCAGGAGTTGCAGGACTTCTTTTGTCTAAGTATGTATATGCTGTAGACCAGCTTTTTCCAAGTTGGGGCTCTCCAGATGTTTTGGTCTACGGTACCTAGCATCTGTGAACATTGCTGGCTGGGGCTAATGGAAATTGCAGTCAAAAACAACTGGAGGGCAGCAGGATGGATGATCTGAATAGTGAATCAGGAAATCTTGGATTCAACTTCCACTTCTGCTGATGATTAGGTTAGGCATAAAGATTATTGGCATAATGCAAGTGAAGCGCTTTGAACCCTGAAGTGCTAAGTGTTATTGTTGCCTAACTCTATCTGATTGCTAGCACTGCTTGCTAAATGGTTTCCACTGGATTTCACTTATTACAGTGACATAAGCCGAAGTCCAGCTTCAAATCCTGGTTCACCTACAAAGTTCATCGGGTAACATTCAGTCAGTCCCTATCTCTCTTTGTAAGCTACCTCCCAGAGTTGTTGTGAGGATAAAGGGTTTGAGAGAGGACTAGATACATTGCCCTGAGCAGCATCGAGAAAGGACAGAAGAAAAATGGAATCATTTTGTAAAACCCATGTTCGAAGCAAGTCACAATAGAGCATACTTTCCCAATATGAAATATTTTTTTTAAAAAAGAGGTACAACATATAATTAACAAGTAAGGAAATAAAGCAATAGGCCTCTATCAGAGAGAGAGAGAGAGAGAGAGAGAGAGAGAGAGAGAGAGAG